GTTGGTTCGCAACCCGCCATAAAACCAAAAGAAGAAGAAGAAGAGATTCTCATGGTAGAGGAAGGCATAAGTGGTGAGAAGTGCAACTAAACAATGCTAGTTTAATTTTAATGTCTAATACGTTTACTTATTGGATTCTTGATAGTACGCTTGTGTTGATTAAAAAGCACACCCGAAGTTACTAGATAACTTCGTTTATCTGTATTATGGCAAAAATCCATTGTACAGCGCTTTACATACATAAATGTTTACTGGTGACTGAAATAAAGTTATTAACTTTCTTTCTAACAGGTACAGAAATAGATTCCATTAACTAGTCTCCTCTTCGTAATGGTAAGTCTTATACTTCTGTGTAATTGATTGATGACTGATCAATATTATACAGCCAATGAAGGCTACATGACTGATTATATGCAATATGAAACAGAGTGATCATTTTAAGCACTTTTTACTGATTAGTCAACATCAAAAACGTTGGTTGTGTTCCAGGCCAGTCAGGGTGATGGAGAGGTGTGGTACGCCCATCCGGTTTACGCCCGATATTGGCAGCACTACCAGCAGGCCATGAGCTGGCACCAGAGGCATAAGCGGGCATACAGAAAAGCTTTGGAGGTTGGCTACTTCCAGGCACTGTATTCCATGTACCCCTCTGCTGTCCAGCGATACTCAGATTGGCATGCAGACGAGAGCTGGAGGAACGCTCCTAGAGACAGAACGACAGGTAGAGAAGAAGAAAGGGAGAATGAGGCCACTGATTCAGACCGTGAGATGGAGGAGGAGAGTTCAGATGAGAGCCAGATCGAGTGTGACGTCAGTAACATGGACATCTCAGAAGAGCTGCGACAATACTTTGCCCAGACAGAGCGACACAGGCAGGAACTCAGTAAGTGTTTAAAAACATCTGGAAATATTTAGAAAAACTGACCTTTCAGCTGCAAGAACTTGCACTTTTTGGGGTTTCACTCCATATTAGGACCACCATATAGTTTATATTATTGTTGTTATTATAGAGATACTTTTAGTTTTTCTGTTGCTGAAACAGTTTTTGGACTAACTTAGTTTAATTCTGGAACATGGTGATTGTGTGGGTCCTCTCTTTTGAGCTACTTATTATCATGATAATAATTCAAAAAGGTTTATATGTCGCCTTTCAGGACCTAATGGTCCTTTTACAAAGGAAAAGGGAAACAACAAATGAATAGAATGTAAGTCT